TTTCTTGAGGTGTTTCCTGAGGAGATTCCTGAGTTTCTGTCACAGCAGGAGATAGAGTTCTCCATTGATCTTTTACCTGATGTGGGGCCTACTTCATTAGCCCCATACCGGATGTATCCACCTGAGTTAGCGGAATTGAAGAAGCATAATGAGGATCTTTCCGCGAAGAACTCCATCCGACGTAGTGTGTCTCCATGGGGAGCACCGATCATCTTTGTCAAGAAGAAAGATGGGAGCATGCGACTGTTCATCGATTACTGTAACACCCCGTGTGCACCCGGTGTATTATCATACAAATGGTAATGGCGCAACTAAATAAATGCGGAAGCTAACTTTTTCTTTTCAATTAATGACGTCATTATTATTAACCAAGTTGATTACTTAATTCCTTTTCAAAACATGGCATGTATGTAAATTGCAATAAATAACTAACTGAATAACCTCATATATAGATGTGTATCTAATCACGGAACTACAAAACGTAGTCCGGACAATATCCTGCTACATTATACAACTCAAGTCTAAATAAACATAGTCAAAACAATATGGCATAGACAACCCCCATGCTCACCAAATAAGGCAACAAAGCCACACCAAGTCTCAACTCAAATAACATGATACTGAGAATAAAGGATAATCACTAAGCAGGCATATCAGCAGTCAACATGCATAATCAACTCAACTCCGACCTCCTGCCGCTAGAGGTATCAACCCCCGAGGTACCTGAACCTGAAAATGTGCCCCAACACGGGGTGAGATCTCTAAAAGAAATCTCAGTAAGACAAGGGGTCCTCAAGGATCTCTCCACCCCAAGCTCACTTACACGTGCAATATAAGTTCTAAAACAATAAAACAGTATAAGTTCCAAAATTTGTGCAATGCAGCATATAATCATGTTATGTGTGTCAGAATCCTACTGGCCAGAGAATAAAATGTAGGGATTACATACGTCTACAACCTACAGTACAAGGAACACCGCTTGCACCTCACCCACATAATCACCATCTTGTATGACGCTACGTGCTCAGTCTTACCGTTTAGGTAGAACACCACATACATATCATAAGGCACTTGCACTTAACAGCTCAATAGCATTTCAATAATAATCATTTCATGAAAACACATCATGCATATAAACCATCCCTCCATGAGGTATGGTGGAACCAACAATGGGAAAAACCGAGGACACGAAAGCTTACCTCACAAGCTAACAATCCAAGCCAAAGTCCACACTAGCCCAAGGTCCAAAACAGCGAAATCATAATCTGTTTAGACCAGCAATCATATCAACATTTATAATCTAAAAGTTCATGACACAACGACAACGTTTTATTTTTCGTTTCATGTCATTAGGCTTCTCCCAGAGCAATAAGCCCTTAATCCAATTGATTCTGACTTAGTTCAATTATTACAGAGGTTTAACTTATCCAATCATGGGTCCATAAACCCAATATACCATTCTGTATGAACATAACAGTACCCAACTCGCAATTCCCAGAATATCCGGACATTTCACGGGGCCATATCCGGATATCCATATCCGGATATCTCCAACCCTATATTCGGATATCAATATCCGGATATCATATCTGGATATTTCGCGAAAGAAAACAGTTATGCATTTTCGCAAAGATATCCATCCAAGACATCATTTTTAACATTAATATACGTCCAAACATGCATTTTTAGGCACCTTAAGGTCAGTGTTTATGTTAGTTACCTACTCATCTTCTTTTACATGCCAAGACTCAACTTTTATAAAAAAAACTCATGATCAAGGTTCAAGGACATACCCCAAAGCTCAAAACAGAAGCAAATGGTACTCTTGGAGCTCACAAATCAGTCCCAAAGTTCAGACACAACAAGGCCACGAAAATACAACTTCAAGATAGGTCCTTTCTCTTCAAAGGTAGCTTCTTGAAGCTCCAAATGCCAAGTAAATGGCTCACACCTCCCAAAATAGTGGAGTCAGCCCACACACACTCAACTCAGAGGCTGGACAACTCATAATAAGACACTATTCTCCTTCACGAAGCTAACCCACACTAAGCCATGGTGTTTTGATGAAGAAAATGTGAAGAAAGTTGTTTACTTGGGATTTTTTCTTGAAGAAGGATGAAGGTGGCAAGGTGGAGAGCTCAATATCAGAAATAAAGGCACGTAGGAGTGTGTAGTTTCTGACCTAGAAACTTGTGCCCTCCATTATATAATCGTATTAAGTTCAGTCACACTGTAATAGCACTAAGGGCTCCGCTAATCATTTTAATCTCAAATTTTAGATTCTGAACCTAGCCATTTTCGAGGATTTTTCATATTTTTATTATAATTTTCGCAGCACTTTGCCGGTACGCGCTTTTACGTAGCCGATATCAGTCCTGACGCCAGTTCTAACTATTTTGACTTCAAACTTGACATACCAGTCCTAAATATTAGTCTAGGAATATTCACATACTTATTATAATTTTTCGTGATACTTCATCGGTACACACTTATACCGTGGAGCAGAACCGACATCTGCACTTTTCGTCTGAAAAACGACTTTCAATATTTTTGAGCCTTTGTGATAATTATTCTTATCTTACCATATTTATTTAAGGTCAATTATGGAATTATTTTCTAAATTCATAATTAATCATTTAAATTCCTAATTTAACGGTGCGGGTTCTTACATTTACCCCACCTGTTAAGAATTTTGTCCGTAAAATTAGAAACATACATGTCCCATTGCACCTTGACCATAGGAATGATCTTGCTCCTAAGCTTCTTCTCGCCACGATCAAGAATCTTGAGTGATCCGACGGGAGTCTTTAAGTTCTCCCGAACTTCCACATCATCAGGTGTACCACGTGCGAAGGATCTGCTATATACCTATGAAGCTGAGACACATGAAACACGTTGTGGATGTTGGCCAAGTTCGGAGGCAAGGCAAGCCGGTAGGCAACAGGCCCTACCCTACCAAGAATCTGGTATGACCCTATGAATCTCGGGCTAAGCTTCCTCACTCTGAGGGCCCAACCAACACCGGTGATAGGTGAACTCTCACTAAACTCCAGTGGTCGATGCTTATTGTCATAGTAGCTCTTCTGGCGATTCTGAGCTTGCTTCAAATTTCCCTGATCATCTGGATCTGTTGGGAGGTCTCTTGGACAAAGTCTAAACCAAATAACTCCTTATCTTCAACCTCAGACCAACAGTTAGGAGTCTGACACCTCCTACCATACAATGCCTCATAGGGTGCCATGCCCAGGCTAGCATGAAAACTGTTGTTGTATGAAAACTCACCCAGTGGCAGGTACCTATCCCATGCTGAGCCCTGCTCCAATGTGCAAGCCCTCAACATGTCCTCCAAGGTCTGGATGGTTGATAACTCATATTTTATTACACTTATTTGTTACTCTTGATTAGTATTTTTAGAATTTATTTGAATAAAATAATGATGTTTTGAGTTTATTTACATTTTTAGTTTTTGATTGGGTTTAATTTATTTTCGTCAGAATTTTTCAGCTTTACGTTACTTCTGTATTTTGGCCATATCTTGGTCCACAGTTGTCGGATTGACTCCGTTCTTGTTGGGTTTTTCAGATAACACAGAGGGCTACAATTCTTATGAAGAGCTCGAAGCCCAATTCGGATTGAAAGCTAGTCTATTTCTTGCGCCAAGTCGGACACGTTTTGCTGAAGTTTTATTTTATTTTATTTATTTTATTCCGTATTTTAGACATATGGGCCGGTCAGAACTGAACCCTAAGTCGCTTTGAGTAAGGGTATATGACGGCAGAGTAGGAAACATTGGATGCATTCTGTAATTTTCAAAATTGAGGATCAAAGTATTTTCTCTGAAGCGTTCTTCATCTTTTTCTTCTTCTTCTTTTTATTTCAATCATGTTTACCTTAGCCATGCGAGGCTAAGAACCTTTTAATCAACCTAAGGGTAATGAATTCCTTGGATTAGTCTTGAGGATCTGCGTTTATTTCAAATCAGTTTTGTTTCCCTTCCCAACTCAGATTGATATCGTGCGATCGTGGATATTCAATCTGAGGTTCGCGATTGCGATTATGGAAAGGGATTAATCATCAGATTTGATGATTAGGTTGATTGACCCTATGACCTTAAATCAAGCGGGCTGATACTCTGCGATTGTATGAGTAGAAACATCGTCTTTGATCAAATGCTAAGCGATCGCTTAGAGAGGGTTGTCAATTGGAAATAAGGATTCTGATCCGATTGACAAATCAATCACGATTCTGATATCTTCTTATCCGAGGAAAGACGTCCATGGAACCCAAACCTTAGGTTGGTTATTTTTAATTACGAATTTTTATTCCAAATTTATATTCTGCCTTTTTAATTATTGAATCAAAATCCAAAACCCCCCTTTTAATTTTCTGTTCTCATAAGCGATTTTAACCAAAACAATTTCCTTGAGAGACGACTTAGGGTTTCCACTTTACTGCAAATTTTCTGAACCCTAATTAAAAAAATAATTTTAATTTGCGCGAGTTCGACAGCTCGTGTCAAATTTGGCGCCGTTGCCGGGGAAATTGCATCGGTCTAAATCGTTTTCTGATTCTTGATCATCTTCTTCTTCTTTAATTTTCGTTTCTTTTTCTAAAAAAAAAAAAAAATTCTTCAATTTTCATTTTGATTTTTCTTTTTCTGTTTCTGTTTCTATATATATTTTTTATTCTAATTAGTGAATATTAACAGTAGATTAGATTTTGTTAGATTTTGATTAGTTAGATTAGATTTTGTTTGATTTAGTTTCCTTTTATTTTTATTTTTTCATTTTATTTTAATTTAATTTAATTTATTTTTATTGTTATTTTTATTTTGGTTCTTTTTGCTCTTTCTTTCCTTTTATTTTATTTTATTTTATTTTTATTTTTATTTGTTTTTTATTTTTATTTTATTTTTCCTAATTCTTTATTTTTTTTTATTTTTTTTATAATTTAGGAAGTTTTGTTATAATTTAGGAAGTTTTGGTCACAATAAAAAAAACATGGATAATAGAAGCTTAAGGCAATTGACTGCACCTGATGTTAAGTATCAGTCTTTTTGCATTCGTTATCTTGATACTGGTTTTAAACTTAAGTCTGGTCTTATCCATTTGCTTCCCAAGTTTCATGGTCTTGCAGGTGAAGATCCATATAAGTATTTGAAAGAGTTTCATGTAGTCTGCAACACAATGAAACCGCAAGGAGTTGATGAGGAGCAGGTCAAACTGAGAGCCTTTCCTTTTTCCCTCGATGGAGGAGCTAAGGATTGGCTGTACTACCTTCAGCCTTCATCTATCGAAACTTGGAATGACATGGCCAGATTGTTTTTGGAGAAGTTTTTTCCGTCCTCAAGAGCCACTTCAATCAGAAAGGAGATAAGTGGCATAAAACAAGCAAATGAGGAAAACTTGCATGAGTACTGGGAGCGGTTTAAAAGACTTTGTGCAAGTTGTCCACATCACCAGATTCCGGAGCAATTGCTGATTGTCTACTTCTATGAGGGATTGCTACATATGGATAGGAACCTGATTGATGCTGCCAGTGGAGGAGTTCTTGTTAACAAAACACCCAATGAAGCTAAGGCGTTGATCTCAAACATGGCTGCAAATGCTCAACAGTTTGGAACGAGAGCCAATAGCAGTGTTGTGTACCAGGTGCAAGAAACTCCGACCCAGCCTTCAGCAGTGGCATCAAGTGCTGACAATCAGCAAATTGAAAATAGACTTGATGAATTGGCAACCATGGTGAGACAGTTGGCAGTTACCCAGACAGTCCAGACTTCTGTTCCACAGTTCGGCAATCCATGTGGCATATGCAGTGATCATTTTCACTCCACTGATGCTTGCCCTTCTCTACAAGAGGGCTCCATTCCTGCAGACCAGTCAGTAGCTGCAGTCTTTCCTGGGAAACCACAGTTCCAGCAGCAGCAGAGTAATCCATTCTCCAACACTTACAATCCTGGCTGGAAGAATCATCCCAACCTCAAATGGAACCAGAATCAGCAAAATGTTCCATATCAGCAGAGTCAACAAAATTTTCCATACCAACAGAAGCAGCAGTTCATTCCACAGCAGAGACAAAACTTCCAGCAACCTGCTCCTCAACAGTTACAACAACAACCACTAGTGCAGCAGCAAAACAGTGTCAGTGGTCCTTCGTTGGAGGACTTAATGAAACAGATGGCCACCAACAATCTGGAGTTTCAACAGAGGACAGAATCCACAATCCAGAATTTGCAGACACAGATCGGGCAATTGGCGACATCAATGAACCAGGCCCGATCTTCCAGCAGCTCCCTTCCATCCCAAACAGTTCCAAATCCAAAAGGAAGCGGAAATGTGAGTGCTATTGCTCTGCGGTCTGGAAAGCAAATGGAGGAGCCAAACCAAGCTGCTGTTGAGTCATCTAAGGGAGGTGACACTAGCTCCAAGAAGCAGAGCACTGATACATCTGATGTCCATATCCCTCTGCCTTTCCCTCAGAGAGCCACTCAGTCCAAGAAGCAATCAGCAAAGGCTCGAGATAAAGAGATACTTGACACCTTCCGAAAAGTTGAGGTGAACATCCCTCTTCTGGATGCAATACAGCAGATTCCGAGATATGCCAAGTTTCTAAAGGAGCTGTGCACCAACAAGAGAAGACTGAAAGGAGATGAGCAAGTTAACCTGAGTCAGAATGTATCAGCACTCATCCAGCCTATGCCTAAAAAATGTCAAGATCCAGGGACATTTACTATTCCTTGTGTAATTGGCAATTCTGTTTTTCATGATTGCATGCTAGACTTAGGGGCTTCCATTAATGTCATGCCTGAATCTGTATATAAGTCTCTTGGACTTGGTCCTTTGCGTGCTACTAGTATTGTGGTTACATTAGCTAACAGGAGTAGTATTCACCCATCTGGTTTGATTGAGGATGTATTGGTCAGAGTTAATAATCTGATTTTTCCTGCTGACTTCTACATTTTAGAAATGGAGAGTGAGACTGCTACTAATAGATCACCAATTATACTTGGTAGGCCTTTCATGAGAACAGCTAGAACAAAGATAGATGTTCATTCTGGTACTCTATCCATGGAATTTGGTGATAGCATTTTACATTTTAGTATATTTGATTCCATGAAGCATTCTAAGGTTCAGGTTGATCATTCAGTTTCATGCATAAAAGTGATTCATGATGTGGCTGATAAGGTTGATTTTGAATTGATTAGTGATTGTGCATTACCTGTGGATTATGACTTGCCTATTAATGTTAATTCTGAATGTGTACTAAATGCGAAGTTATGCAAGACTCCCCATTCTGGTAATGATTTTGATCCTAACTCTCATGGACCCAAGATGAAATGGGTACCAAAAAGTTCTTCCTCTATTTTTAGTATGCAGAAAAGTTTGCATAAGGTTGGAAGAAAGGATCAAGAGAAGAAGAAATACACACAGAAAAGAAAGCCCCCAAAGTTGCGTGATAAGCAGATGGGGAAGACTTGCACAATGATTTGCCATCACCTCAAAGTTGTTAATGAAGGACCCCAGAAGCAACCTGTGGAGACAGAGGCTCTGCTCATTGATGCTACTTATCCTCCTTAGGGAGTTCAGGGAGTCTTCTTCCCTCTTTTTCTTTTCTTTCTGTTATTTGCATTTTTCTTTTCCTTTCTTTATTTCAGTCTTTGATTTTCATAGGTAGATTTTCCTTTTCTTTCTGGTTATTATTGAGTGTTACATGGAGTAGACTTAAATCACAGGGTTTGATAGAAATTTCTGCTTAGGCTTAGTTCTTGATTCTTGGATTGCATTACTTGCTGCTTGATACTGTGCTGCTGATTGCATGATTTGGTATACCCTTGTGAGGTTTTTGAGCCTGTAGACATGGTCTTAATCTGTAGGCCAGTTTTTCTTTCTTGTGTGATTCTGCTCTTGATTGTTGTCCTCTAGAACTTGCTCTGATTCTTTTTGAAACTGCATTTTTCACTTGCATGCATGAATATGATTGAGGCATTCTTTCTTTCTTTACCCACTTTAGCTAGATAGCCATCCCTTATATTATTATCCCTTGGTGAGCCCTTTTGAGCCTTTATATCCGTTATTTCTTAAGCCGCATTACCAGCCTAAGTGAAAAACCAATTAATTCCATACCTTGGAGTTTTACTGAGCATTGGTTTCATTGTGATGTTGTGTTTAAGTGTGGGGGTTTGCCCGAGACGGACAAAAGTTTAAGTGTGGGGGGTGACATATGTGGTTGTACTTATGTGGTTTTACTTCAAAACAAAAAAACAAAAAACACAAAAAAAAACAAGAAAAAAAACAAGAAAAAAAAAAGTGTTTATCTTTTCAGTATCTTTGTTTTATGTTCTTAGTTTAGTTCTTAACTTTTGCTCTTTGTAAAATTCTGGGGTGTTTAGCTTTCTCTTCCATATTCATCCGTACCTTTACCTCACCCCATTACAACCCTGCATAAAGCCCTCTTGATTTGTGCATGCATGTGTTATTAGCAGTGGAGAAGTAGAATTTGAGCAAGCCTATGGTAGAATGATTTTCTGGAGTTGATTTGAGTGATATACTGAATTAACTGATACACTTGAGAGAAAATTGAGGGCATCCTGTGAGGAACCATTTTTGTGTAGTTAGCAGTTGCAGTTGAAATCAGCACGTCTTGTGATTTGAGATTAAGGAATTTTTGTCCTGGTTGTTTTATCTGTTCAAGACTTGTGATTTTTGTTATCTTTTGTATACTTGCTAATTATTAGGAAGGATAGGTTGATCTTCACTCTTTTCTTATTTCTTTGCTTTCTTTTTCTATTCTAGTTTTTGCCCAGGAGTGCAAAAAGATAAGTGTGGGGGAATTTGATAACTCATATTTTATTACACTTATTTGTTACTCTTGATTAGTATTTTTAGAATTTATTTGAATAAAATAATGATGTTTTGAGTTTATTTACATTTTTAGTTTTTGATTGGGTTTAATTTATTTTCGTCAGAATTTTTCAGCTTTACGTTACTTCTGTATTTTGGCCATATCTTGGTCCACAGTTGTCGGATTGACTCCGTTCTTGTTGGGTTTTTCAGATAACACAGAGGGATACAATTCCTTAAGAAGAGATCACTTAGTTTATTTTGTATAGTTTTAGCTTTAGTTAAGTGACAACACTTCTTGTATATTTTGTATCACCCATTTGAGACTCCTCACGAGCAACAACCATATTCTCCACTTTCCATTTTATTGTAACCTAATTTATTTCCAGTTAAATATAAGTGTTATTTTTCTCCTTTCCACTTGTTATCTCTGGACTGAATCTCAGGTCTATGGGATTTCAGCTCAGAATAATTATGTTTAAAGTAGTAGCTATGGGCTAAACTATCTGTGAAACGGAAAAACTGTAAAGTTCTTAAAGAATTATTTTCAAAACTCTCATACGGAAGTTTTTGTGTTTCTCCGGTTAAGTGAGCTATATTCATTGTGTATCAATGGAAATTGAACACATACTGAGAAAAGAACTTCCATAAGGAAGGGATTTCAGACAGCTTACCCAGAGGGGGAAGGAAGTCTTGTGGAAAGAACACTGCTGGTTGCCTTAGGAATAAGGGACCACCTCGTTCATTTAAAGGTCATATGCTAAGTATCTGTTGGAGTCAAGGGAGCCATAGGAATATGAAAACTTGTGAGCCATTTAGTCCATGAGCTGAGGAATCATAGTTGGCAGTGAAGAGACTGGAACAAATACAAAAGTGTCAAGTCTAGAGTAGAGAAAATAGCTATTTAAGAATGGAGCAGTGGATCTGTTCCTTGTGTTAAAACTATTTTAAAACCATCCACATTGTTGTCTCTTAATTACTGTTATTACTATTGTTATTTTTCCTTTATTCAATCTTGTATCTATAAAAATCTTATGAATGTTGTTGTTCCTTCTCTCAACAAGAAGCATATCATACATAACGAAGCGAAGAGCTGTTTGTTGTCATATTGAACCTACTGTTCTTGTGGAACATTGTCAAGACAGTAGGGAACGTTTGACCAAATAGGTCAATAACTAACTTTTCTTTTCATTTTTATTCTTTTTAAAATAGTTTAAGGCATTAATTAGAGTACTATCCTCGTGGGAACGACAATCTGGGCACAAATAGTCCCATTTATTACTTGATACGTGCACTTGCGCACTTGGGTTGAAGTTAAGAGAATAAATGTGTTTTCTCTTAATGAATTAAACGTCCTTCATCATAATATATTTTTCCAACAAGCTTTTGACCCAACAATAGGCTTGCTCAAGTTCTACTTCTCCACTACTAAAAACAAATGCATGCATAAATCAAGAGGACTTTATTGATGAGTATGGAAAAGAGAGGTTAATCACCCAGAAATTTAAAAGAGCATTAGCTAAATAAAAACTTTACTAACGAAATATAACTAAAATAAAAACAGAAAAATAAAGCAAGAAAAACACAACACAAAGATGAGAACTAAAATTTTCTTTTTCTTTTTGACTTTTTCATTTTTTTTGCTTTGCTTTTTTCTTTTTTTTTTTTCTTTTTTGTAAAATAACATATTAAATGAATGCTCCTCCCCCACACTTATAGTGTTGCACGTATTAAGGAAAATCCCCCACACTTAAACACAAAACTACAGTGAAACCAATGCTCAGTAAATTTTCAAGGTGTGGAATTAATTGGTTTTTCACTTCGGATAGTGATGTGGCTAAGAAAAAGAGGATATAAAGGCACAAAGGGGCTAACCAAAGGGAATCGGGGATAGATATTTGGCTAAAGGGAAAAAAATAAAAGAAAGAAGGCTTCAATCATATCTATGCATGCAAATGAAAAATATAATTTCAAAAAGAACAAGAGCAAGTTCTAGAGAACAACAATCAAGAGCATAAGCACACAAAAAGAAAGAATGGCAGATGATAGGATTTTCATATAGCCCCAAATTTCACCAAAGGATATACCAATCACATATCAGCATCATAAAATCAATTACCAAGTCAAGTAATCCAAGAGTTAAGAACTTAGCCTAACCAGAGTGGTCCATCACAAGTATCAAGTCTAATTCAAACTATGTATAATTCAACAAGTATCAGAAAGAACAGAATAATCTACTTATCGACCCTAAAAATTAAAATTAAAAATTCAAATACAATGAAAGTAAAGAAAATAGGTCTAAATTGTTTCCTGAAGATCCAGTGAGCAGAGCCTTCTTCTTCCACGAGTTGCTTCTGGGGTCTTGATAACTCATATTTTATTACACTTATTTGTTACTCTTGATTAGTATTTTTAGATTTTATTTGAATAAAATAATGATGTTTTGAGTTTATTTACATTTTTAGTTTTTGATTGGGTTTAATTTATTTTCGTCAGAATTTTTCAGCTTTACGTTACTTCTATATTTTGGCCATATATTGGTAATTCGGAATACTTAACAGATAACACAGATTACAATTCTTATTAGAAGCCCAATTCGGATTGGATTTACTTTGCCTTAAGCCGCTTTGAGTAAGGGTATATGACGGCAGAGTAGGAAACATTTGCATTTGTAATTTTCAAAATTGAGGATCAAAGTATTTTCTCTGAAGCGTTCTTCATCTTTTTCTTCTTCTTCTTTTTATTTCAATCATGTTTACCTTAGCCATGCGAGGCTAAGAACCTTTTAATCAACCTAAGGGTAATGGATTCCATGGATTACTCTTGAGGATCTGCGTTTATTTCAAATCAGTTTTGTTTCCCTTCCCAACTCAGATTGATATCGTGCGATCGTGGATATTCAATTTGAGGTTCGCGATTGCGATTATGGAAAGGGATTAATCATCAGATTTGATGATTAGGTTGATTGACCCTATGACCTTAAATCAAGCGGGCTGATACTCTGCGATTGTATGAGTAGAAACATCGTCTTTGATCAAATGCTAAGCGATCGCTTAGAGAGGGTTGTCAATTGGAAATAAGGATTCTGATCCGATTGACAAATCAATCACGATTCTGATATCTTCTTATCCGAGGAAAGACGTCCATGGAACCCAAACCTTAGGTTGGTTATTTTTAATTACGAATTTTTATTCCAAATTTATATTCTGCCTTTTTAATTATTGAATCAAAATCCAAAACCCCCCTTTTAATTTTCTGTTCTCATAAGCGATTTTAACCAAAACAATTTCCTTGAGAGACGACTTAGGGTTTCCACTTTACTGCAAATTTTCTGAACCCTAATTAAAAAAATAATTTGATAGGAACCTGATTGATGCTGCCAGTGGAGGAGTTCTTGTTAACAAAACACCCAATGAAGCTAAGGCGTTGATCTCAAACATGGCTGCAAATGCTCAACAGTTTGGAACGAGAGCCAATAGCAGTGTTGTGTACCAGGTGCAAGAAACTCCGACCCAGCCTTCAGCAGTGGCATCAAGTGCTGACAATCAGCAAATTGAAAATAGACTTGATGAATTGGCAACCATGGTGAGACAGTTGGCAGTTACCCAGACAGTCCAGACTTCTGTTCCACAGTTCGGCAATCCATGTGGCATATGCAGTGATCATTTTCACTCCACTGATGCTTGCCCTTCTCTACAAGAGGGCTCCATTCCTGCAGACCAGTCAGTAGCTGCAGT